TTTACATTTCTGAACACTGCATATTTTAATTTCAGTCTTACTATGGAAAAGATTGTAGTTCCGATTTATTGCGTGTTTTGTCCAGTATATCACAGCAAGGTAGCTATAGAATGATCTCTAAGCATCCAACTCTATATCCCATAAATTTTCCTACCACTCATGCCCTCCAGAAACTCACACTGATCACGTGACACTGAAAAAGCCAACCAAAATAAAGGAAGCCATCGTATTGAAATGCTGATGTTCACTTTTAGATGGATTTCTGACTGGTCATTTTGAGTCTGCTAGATAGAAATCTTAGTCAACATATACCTTAAGCAGCATCCAGCCTAGTTTATTTCCCACATTGGCATTCTACTGTCTAACTTCTTTCTCTGTTTTTTTGCTTCATGGGGACTCCTATATGGATCTACGATTTGGATTTCATAGAGCAAAACAGCACTTACCTGAAGTCCCATCACTGTTCCAAACTGCTGATAACCACAGGAGTTGAGAAGACCCCAAGCACTGGTCTCAGTTATTTGATTGTATAGGCAGCAGTCAGATATATTTTTAGGTCACTATATGGCCAAATAGTGCCATACAAAAGAGCCAACACAAACATTTGTGGACTCCGACATTCCTTTCAAAATCACCTTTGTTCAAGGAAAGCCTTAGGTTGTGGAGAAATTTCACAGTCTTAGCTACTGCTCACCAAGACTCCAGCTTTTCTACTCACACAAAGGGCTTTGGCCAGTTATTTCTCTCTCTTTATGGTACTCTTGTTTTCTCCACAAGGAAATAAGCTATGATTTGTGGCTCCCAAAGGACTTGTCCTAAAATAGATTTTGAAATTTTTATTAGCAAAACATTTATCTTGCATATCTAGCATTCTGTATTCTTTCTGTTTGATAGCTTGCAGTGTAGCTAGCATCTGCCAGAGGAAAACATTAAACTGTCAGAATAGTGTTTGTGCAAAAACATCCCCTGTAAGAACTAGCGATTTTGACACGTTATACACCACTGTAATGCACTGTTCCATATTTTAAACTAGTCACCAATAGAGTTGTAGCATTACATTCTTTATCCTTAGAATTATCAGGTCTTTGCCTAAAATCTACTATGGAATATCTACAAAACAAGTTTGTTAAAGAAATGGGATAATTTGGGTTTATCTGTATTTTTAATGGGTTTAATGGTTTTAAAATGCTAAAACTTACACATAGGAGAAGTGTTGGAAGAGAAAATATGTGCCCTCTCCTTTTTGTCCAAGCCTTCATTGTTCATTTCCTGTATCTTCCTGTTTTACCTTGGGTCTTTAGTCACAGCCAACTGAAATGAATTCTAGCTGACACAGAAAATGAATGAACTGACATTGTATTTGGCAGCTTCCAATCTAGGTGGGAAGTCTAAAGATGGAGATTTGGGTGAGGGGAAAGACCAAAGGTAAATTACCAGACTGAAAGAATTCTCCACAATGCAAGGGTCTGACATTTTCCAGCTTTTATGATGGGATGTGGCTTCTCTCCATTGTTCAAAAATGTGGGAATTTTCTACAGATAGGGAAGGGAAAAGGGGTTTATAAATTTTTAGAAAAAAAGGCAGAGACAAAAAGAAAAAAAAGACGTCTGCTCTTCTTTCTTCCTGTACAAAACCCCAATGTCTAGCATCCCAAATTTCTTCTTTTCTTTGAATTTTGCCATATCTCTTTTCGAAGCCCTGAACACTGAGTAAACACCACTGCTTATCAGGGACCCCAGGGACCCTTAAACACTGCTGAGGAAGCACAATAGGTCATGAGTCTTTGATCTATTCCTATTAAGTGCCACCAGCACAGTGACTGTAAACTCATCTCCAGCCCTGCCTTACCTTGCAGAAATTTAGTTCTATGCATGTAGTCACATGATTCTAACTAAGAGCTCTGGTTCGGAGCCGCATACCAGTCTTCTCTCCTCCCCGCAGTCCTTTACAAATTATTCCACCCCTCTGAAGGCCCACACCTGCCCCATCAGTTCCCTTCAGCTGGGAAAATCAGGGCAACGGATGCAAACTCACTCAACTACTCTCTTTCAAGTCTTCAACTCAAAATTTCTTCTAGTCATTATCCACCCCGTCCTTGTGCCCTGTTTCATCCTTGGCTGAACTGGCCAGTGATGCTAATCCCAGTGCCTGTGTTTTAACTCAAGAGTTTGCCTAATACTTACCTTCCCTTTTACTGGGTCTTTGGCTTTACTTTCCTCGTGTGACTTCCTTAGGACCCTAAAACATTGAAGTCTCACTTGCCCTGAGAGCCCTTCAGCTAGGCTCTGATTCCCAGTCTCCTTCCTGTTTCCCATCATCATTGTTCAAGTCCAGAGATCTGACAGGAGGAGTTGTACCCTGGACAATTCTCCCCCAACTCTTCGTCCTTTCTTAATGTTCCTGAGTACTTTCCAGCTCACCTTCTGGACATAGCACACTAGTGCCCTCCAAAGTCCACTGCCTTCTTCATTGCTGAAGCCAATGGCCTCTTCGCAGTCTACACCTCCTTGACCCCTGAAAAGCTTGTGACCTACTGACATTCCCTGCCCTCCTATATGGCTTTTGTTAGAGTGTATCCTGATTTTTCCATCTGCCTCTCAGATGACATATCAGACTCCTCTGCTGAACCTTCTCCCTTCCTGCTGTATTTTCTCGTCCTGACTAGCCTCAGTTCTTTAGCTGGAGTTGTTAAGAAGATGCCAGTGAGGTACGTGGCCTGACCCTGATTCTGAGGTTCAGATCCTTCCAACTGATCACCTTAAAGGTTACTCAGACCCTTTTCCTTCTCTATCTCCCCTTCTATCGCTGCTATTAACATTTACTGTGGCTATACAAACATTACACAAAATACACTAGTTCAATCACTTTTAAGTGCAGAGTTTAGTGATATTAACTATATTTATATTGTAATGCTCCATTATTCCTCTTTGATACCCATATACCTGAGGGAAAGGAACATTTCTTGTTCACTTGCTTATTACTGGAACCTAGTGCAATCCATGACCCCAATTGAGCATGGTGCTTAGTGCCTAGAAACATGGACTCTGTGGGGCTTGCTTGAGTTTAAATCCCAAAGTCTATGCCTTTGGCTGAGCTTCCAGCCTCTTTGGTCTTGGTCCTCATCTTGGTTGCCTCTGTTTTTGTTGGTTACATAGACACTCTACAAAATTAAGAACAGCTTTATTTGTGAGCCACCCTGCCAGTAACTTGTCCTAGGGGAGCCTGTGCTGAAAATAGAAGATAAGTAGGAGGAGGGGAGAAGGAAGAAGGGAAGGGGGAAGAAGACAAGGAGAAGAGAAAGAGAAGGAGAGGCATTTGAAGAAGGTAATGAGTCTTAAACAGAAGGTAGAAGTTTATGATCTACCAGACTGAGATGTCAAACTGGGCATTGGCCCGGCTCTGTGGTGCAAACAGCTGCACCCACATCCATTCTAAAGAAGGGTCTCAGGGCTGATGAAACCAAGTGGTTCCATCCTTGGTCTGAGCAGCGATTGTTCTCCAAAAAGCAGGTAAAATTGCAGTGGAAGTTGAAAGGGTAGCTTAACTGAGTGAAAAGAATTTTTGGTATTTGGGGAAATTTGATGTATACATCTTTTAAAATACTGTCCTAAGTCCTGCATTTATAGAATTGTTGTGAATTGGAAAAGGCCATATTGATTTGGATATGTGTGTGTGTTTTACAGTCGAGGTGTTTTTATTTTATTTTGTGGAGGAAAGTTTGCTTGCATATGTTGGGAATTCTAGAAGGCCCACCCTATGCATTCAGAGGTATTTTGTTTGTTCTTAGCATTTATTTTCTTTCGAATCAGCTTTACTCACCTCTCTTATCCTATCCAGCAACTACCAGAAAAGGTCCACTTAAACGTATGGTATCCTATTTGGATAAAGAATACGTAAAGTATTTCAGTGACCAGATCTTACTTCATCTTTCTGTGTAGTGTACAGAAGAGCCCCTGAGGTTTCCAATGCAGTGCCACAGCTTTATCATAGCAGCAGGTGATGTCTGCAACACCTTTTATAAAACACCTTCATATACTGTATTCATTCATTTCTGAGGCCACTTGTGTGAGGTAACTTCTGTGATCCTTTTTTTTTGTTTCCAGATGAGGAAATTGAGATTCAGAGTTGCTGAATGCGTTGCCCAGGGTCTCACAGCAGATTATAAATTACCAAGCCCTGCTTGCTAGGTACCCAGGACTAAACACTCAGCTGTCTAAGCCATATCTGGCCAGACAGTGGCCTATTTGTAACCATAACCTGTCCTTTATGTTTGAGGACCCTGACATCTAAAGCACGTGGTCCAGGCAGCCCTTCCCTACTGGCAATGTCTTCACGTGGAGCCCAGCATCTGGCATGAACTAAAAGGTGTTCAGCACATGCAGTGGCCAGAGCCTGCAAGTCAGGGCACGTGCTTCAGTCCAGCATTCCCCTCTACTGACATCTGTCCGGCACAGGCGCCACCTCACTCTGCTTGGGCTCCAGCGCGCGTTGCCAAGGAGGCTCTCCAGCTGTGCGCCCTAGAGGTCCGAGTGCCCGCACCCCAGGTGCCCAAGGCGCGCGCGCGCGCGTGCCCTCTCCGCGTCTGCGGTCCCTCCCCAGTTCCCCTTGCCTGCCCGGGAGCCGCCCGGTGCCGCGGCAGCGGGTCCCCCACACCCCGGGGGCGGAGCGTGGCGCCGAGACGTCAGGGCGGAGGACGAGCGCGGGCGAGCGCTCCCTCCCGGCTGCTGCCCTCGGCCCACGTCCCCGGCTGGCGCGGCCGGCGGCGGCGGCGACCGTGAGCTGCAGTTCGGGCGGCGCTGGGGCTCAGCCAGGCGGGCGGGGGGCCAGAGGCTGAGCCGCCAGCCAGCGGTGCGCACGGCTCTGAGCGCCGCAGCGGACCCCGGCCACCCCGCGCCTCTGCCCAGGTTCTAGCTAAGCCTCCGGGGTGCCCATCATTTCCTTGGGTGACTATAGCCTGTATTTTTTTTCTTTCTTTCCCTTGCCTGGGCACCCTTCTCCAGGATGGCAGAGGCGGAATTGCACAAGGAGAGACTGCAAGCCATAGCTGTGAGTATACTTTCATTTTATTTTCTTGCTCTATTGTCTGGGATGGATGGGACCCCGAGGGCTTCGGGGTGAGCGGCATGCCAGCACGGTAGCCGCAGGCCGTGCAAAAACTCTGTCTAGGCTCAGCGACGCTGCCTTTGCCTTTATACTGTTGGAGATCTAAACCCTCGGGGCGCGCTTTGAACTGGGGAAGACTGGGTTGGAAATAAGATGCTTGCTACTGGATTTTGGGAACAGACTAAACAGAGGCTGGGGGCGACTTCTGGAGTATTACCACCCAGTGCTCCAGGAATACGCTGGCTTCGTACTCTGAAGAAGGGAGAGATGGGTGCCCAGACGGGTGGCCGCCTTCCTCTGCGGAAGTCAAGCGCCTGCTAAGTGGAAAACCAGGGGCCAACTAGTCAGCCAGCCCTCCACCATGGAACCTCCTCCCAGAAACCAGAGTGCCAGTTTGCCCTTTCTCTGTTTGATATTGACAAGGGCTCTTGCACAAACTACCATTCTGGAGGGTCTGGGGACTTCTTACAACTGAGTCCTGGGAATCATATTCCAGAGGAGACTCTGTCTTAGGGTGTGGGTTATCTGAAACCCTCTTTTTGGTGTACAAAGAAGTGAGCGGTTTTGGCAAAGTTGCTATGCACTTTCAGAGAAGTGTACCCATGTGCATGTTGGTTACAGAAGGAACTCTCTGAGACTGCCGAGATTCGAGCAGTCTGCCAGAGTGTTGCCAATGATCCACAGATGTGGTATTTTTACTGCAGCCTTCACAGCTGGATTATATATTTCGTTTGCAGATGAGGGAATGATTACGGCTGCTCTATGAAATAATAACAATTATAAGAGAAAGTCCGTTAATCTCTTGGCACAAAAGAATCACCAGACATTTTTCCACCTAAAGCAGTACTTTTTTTTTTCTTTTCAGTCCAGGAGTTCCCTGGAAACACACATAAATTTGTTGGAGAAATTCTGTGTAATGTTTTGGAAGCAAAATACTGTACATGAAAGTGTTTTCAAAAGCCTTTGGACAGATTCTTCATTGGGAAAATGCATATGGGCCCTTCTTTTTTAGAAGCCTTTGGTGTGGTCTCTGTGACTCCAAGACCCCCTTTCTCTGACTCTCCCCATCTGAGAGCCTCGGAGCTCTTTTCCCTGGAAGGAGGGAGCTGTTTGTTGTGAAGTGCTATGGTTTGCCCCATGGCAGTCTTTGGTTGTGGTCTTGAAAGCTCAGAAAGGCTGTTTTTTTTTTATCTGTCCCTTTCCCTGGTTTATGTATACTTCGATGGCCAATGAAGTTATTCATGGTTTCTACAGTTAGTGGCAAGGCAATGCGGCAGTGTGTCACGAGCTTGATAAGAATGGAGATATTTAATTATTGGTGCCATGGAGCTGGTGGGGGTTTTGTGCAAACTGGATAATAGGCTGCTTTAACTGTTGACCAAGTGGCTGTTCCAGAGAATGTTTAGTCGCTTCCATGGGCTGCGGCTGACTGTTTCCAACAGTTGTCAGACTTTCAGCCTTTGTGTGACCAGCTTCACTGGATGCCTGAGGAACAGCTGAGCACCATGAAAGAGCTTGCTTGCTGAATCCAGGGCCAGTGGCATCCAACATAGCAAGAGGGGTTGAGTAATCCCAGCAGAGGCCAAGACGCTTTCAAGAAAGATCCAGGGAATCTTTTGGAATTCTTCTGAGTGTGAGATCTATACCCACTCCTGACTATGGTGGACTGAGTTTGTCCTATGGAGCTGAGGGGCAGATGATAATTGCATGAGTGTATTGACATCAGTGAATATATATATTGCCCATATAGGTTGTCAATGGTGATATCACAGCGAGAGAGAGAGAGAGAGAGAGAGAGAGAGAGAGAGAGAGAGAGAGAGAGAAAGAGAGAACACAAAGAGACAGAGGAAGTTGCAGGGACATGTGGCCCCAGGAGCTGATGGTTTATGCCATGCTTTGGCCTGGTGCACTCTCTCCAGATTCAGCAAACTCTGCCTCTCTCAGACAGTTTTCTAGAGTTCTTTCTCAGGGGATGGTGAAGAGTTCACAAACCTGTCCAGAACCTGGCACACTTGTGGAGATATGAACCTGGCAAGTCTGTGGAGATGTGAGAGAAGAGAACGAGTTCTCACTTCTTCACCTATCCAGACTTCTGGATCTTGGGTGGTATTGCATCTGGGTCTCAGTTGCTTCATCTAGAAAATGGGCTTAGGAGTTCTGCTGTATGGGTTGCCTGTATGGATCAGTGATGATGGAGGGGAAATATTTGCTGTTAGGTGGTGACAAGGTAGCGCCCTCGGTTCCTGTGTGCACTGCTCCCTTGTCCTGTAGGGTTAGAAACAACATCTCAGAAGTGGATAGGACACGGGCAGCCCTTTTTTGCTCTTCTGCAGTTCTGACTGAAGGCCAGCCTGCTACCCAGCATCACTTCTCACCACTGTATGTATGGTAACCACTGAAAAGCCAGTACCCCCAAATTCAGCCACTAAAGGGAAGACTTCACCCTTTGCGCACTTAATCTTTGCAGAGATCTATGTCCTGTGGCCCCAGGTGTCTGTCATGTCATCTGTGGAACTGTCTTCCTTAGGGACTTGCATATCACTAGTGCCTTAATTGAATCTTCCAGTTGAGTTCAGTGACTAACAAATGACTTTCATCTTACTTACTGCCAACAGGAGAGTAACTCCATCTTTGACAAATGTCTCTACTCCGACATGCTCCTTTATCTCTAGGGGCCCTCCCAAAGCTATAAATTTAGAATATATAAAATGCCTCTGCGACAGAATGAATGTAGAATGGCGATTCCAGGGAGTGATGATTGCCATTTATTGAACACTACATTCAGTGAGGCATTGTGTGAAGTCCTTTTTTTTTAAACCTAAAGTTGTTTATAGCATGGTGGAAGAGAGACATGACACATAAACAGTTATGCTTACCATTCAAGAAGGACCATGCCTGTGAGCACACACATGAGGTATGTAGACCACCCTTGAGTTGTGGGTAAAAGAACACAGAAACTGGTGTCATAGCCTTCCCATAGGCATTCGTTTACTTGTTGTTTGTTTTATTATTTACTTGAAGCAGTAAGTGTGAGAAAGGGAAAATACTCAGTAATAAAACTAAAATGCTTTTAAACACACATTATCTGGCCTAATTATGCTAACAAACTTAGGAAGGCACTAGTACGTTGTCCTGTTTTGTAGGTTAACATGTTCTGGAACTGTCCAAACATTAAACAGATACAATCAAAGCCAAGATTAGAACCCATCCTGAAGGCCACTGAAACTTTGACCACACCCCATACTACCACCCAAGATGGCCACAGGGCTTCACACTTTTCCCATGAGCCTCTGTGCAGGTGGTTCTCAAGCTACAACATGAGCTCTTGAAAACTAGCAGACTGACTCCATAGCACTGGGATGGGTTGAGATAAACCAGGAGACCCACATTGCAAGTTTTTGGAGCCTGGGTGCAGAGTGTGGGAACACCCAACGTAAACTCAAACTGAATGAGTAGCATTCCCTTGTGGAAGAAGCAGTGTATCTCCATGGAAACCAACTTTGGGAAAGGGTTTGTTATGTCTACACGTCCAAAGGGAGGACAGCTCTCCTTGAGCCTGAGTGAAAAGAACTAAATATTGCAGAGGTCGTTTGGGCAAAAGCCCTAACTGCCACATGGCCTGAGGCCATGGCTGGCACTGGGAACCAGCATGAGTGCTGAAATAGGAAATGCGCATTGAACCTGCACTTGTTTCTTGAGGACTTTTCTCATTTATTAAGAACCCATCCAGTGGAATAACAAAAATGGTCTCTTGTATACAAATGCAAGGAGCTTTATAATTTATGCTAGCCTGACACATGCTGCCTTCCTTCTGAGGTTGGGGTGGCTGGGTCTCATGGTCTTCACCTTACAACTGAGCATCCAGGCAGTCAGGGAACACATACATAGTGAGGTGTGGACTTGTATGAAATCCCAGTCTCTCCTGTCTCCTAAGTGGCATGGCCGGCCTTATCGGGGTATGTTTTTGTGGTATAGGCTACATTTACCACTGCTTCCTCCTGAACTAAAATCCTCTGGCGGGGAGGCGGTGGGTATGCTTGGAGTACCTGGGCCTGGGTGATGTGCCTTCATGGCATCTTACTTTGGATGTCTCTCTCCTTCCTGTCACTCAAAGGGTACAGTTAGTTGATTTATGTCTCCCTCAGATCCCCTTCTCTGTCCTGAGAGAGTGCCTGGGTGTATATAGTTGACTTAGGCTGGCTCCTGAGCTTCCAGAGAAGTATTTGTTGGCTTCTCCTTGGATTCATCTTTTCTTGCCTCTTCTTGTCTTAGAATGACAAGGCCTTGAGTGTTAGAGTTAAAGTGGGGATCCAGGAAGACTGCAGTTCTGAGATTGATCACCAGCACTGTGGTTGGCCTGCCCAGGTTAGGCAAGTTTCCATGGTACACTGTTCATGTGACTCAGCCAAGAGTACCAAGTCAGGGATCCCTTGGAGAGGTTACAGACCCAAACCAAAGCCCTGCAGTAGCAAACACTGTGATTCTTGTGAGGACCATGCTTATGTATGTCCCTTGTAGACCTGTGTCACTGCTGGATAGCTGGCAGAGGCTCACAGAATTTAATATCCTAAGTAGTCATTTATTAGCTATTTCCATTTTAAAGACCTGGGTAACACTCTGCTTCTGAAATTCCATGTGAAAGCCTGAAAAATGACTTGCTAGGGATATTAGTGCTGAGGAAGGGTTTTTCCTGGATGCTTGTAGGATCACCCAGTAGATAGGTGACACTTTGGGCCCTCTCGGATCATTGCTGGGGCTGAGTGCCAGGGCAGCCTTGCACAAACATGTGTAAAGGTCATATACCTCTCTGACCACTGATGTGTTCCTCTGAATATTTTAGGCTTTTGCCTCTTAGGACAAAGGACAACTGATCTGGCAAACTTTTTAGTGCCCTGAGAAATAGAGCAGATATCTTTTCTTTCTTTTTCTTTTTAAAGTTATCA